GGCCCGCCCTGTTTCACATTTTGGACAGTTGCTTTTGCTATTGCTTCATGTTCAGCAATCTTCTTCTTCCTGTTCTGTCTACTCTGATCTTAGCCCCACCCACCTTTTCCATCTGACAATTTTCCACCGCTGGCAGTCTGAATCAGTTCTTTTCCCTTTGTTTTTCACATCTCTCTTTATTATTCTTAGCCTTTCCTCCACCTTCCCGCACACAAGAAGCATATTTATAAAAGCTATTGTAAAATGCTTGTCTCCTGGGTCAATTCTGGATCTGTTTCTATTGATTGATTCTTTATTATGGCTCATATTTTCCTGCTGCTTTGCATGCCTGGTAATTTTTTACTGGATTTCAGACATTGTAAATTTTTTAGGTTGTTGAGTGATGGAGTGTGTGTGTGTGTGTGTGTGTGTGTGTGTGTGTGTGTGTTCTTTTAAATATTGTTGAGCTTTGTTCTGGGACGAGAGTGAGTTACTTGGAAACAATTTGATCCTTTTGCAGCTGTATTTTATCTTTGTCAGGTGGGTTCAGAACAGCCTTGAGCCTGGGGCTAATTGCACCCCATTACCAAGGCAGTGCCCTTCTGAGAACTGTCTCGATGCCTAGTGTGTTGGCAGGTCTTCCCACCCTGACTGGTGGAATGTGAACCAGTCCTGGCCTGTGTGTTCAATCTTGAGGATGGTTCCACCTGTTCCTTTCTGATGGTTTCTCTGTGGACGCAGGTGCTTTCCTCACATGCATGCACTGGTCGTTACTCAGATGAAGACTGAGACAGGACCCTCTGCACATCTCCAGAGCACACGTGCTCTCTCCCCTACTTCCCTGTCTCCCTTCCTCCCTCCCTCTGATGTTCTCTTTATATTTGGTACTCAGCAGTTTGATGATGTTGGGCCTAGGCATTGTCATTGTATTGATACTGAGATTCTTGAACCTGTAAATTTATGTCTTTCACTAAATTTGGGAAATTAGTCATTTTTTTTCCTTCAAATATTTTTTTCTGCCTCATTCTTGCTTTCTGGGGCTTCAATTAAATATCAGGCCTTTTTATATTAAGTGGACACATATTTTTAATTACTGTTCATTGTTTTCTATCTTTTTTCTCTATCATTGGAATTAGATAATTTACATTGACTTATCTTCAAAGACACTGACTTTCTTCAGTTGTTTTCAATCTGCTGTTTACCTCTTCAGCAAATTTTTCATTTTAGATTTTGTATTTCTCAGTTCTAGAAAGTCAGTTCCCTGTTATTTACTAAAATTTCCTATTCATTCATTAAAAAACATTTCCCTTTATATACTTGAGTGTAGTTATAATTGCTGCTGTAATGTCTTTGCTGCTAATTCCAACATCTGGATTATGCCAAGTTGCTCTCCACTACTTGCCTTTCCTTTGGAGTATAGGTCAAGTTTTTCTGTTTCTTATATCTAGGGTGTGTGTGTGTGTGTGTGTGTGTGTGTGTGTGTGTGTGTGTGTGTATCCTAGACGTACAATGTTATCCAGTGGGATAATCCATTGTAGAGACTCTGGATTCTGTTAAGCCAACCTTGCTTCCTTCCTTCTTTATTTCCTTCCTTCCTTCTTTCCTTCCTTCCTTCCATCTGCTCAACTCAGAGTCTAAACTCTCCCCCATGGTGGGCAGCAGCTGGAACCTCAGCTCAGTACTTTAGCTTCAGTCGGGCTTCTTGAAGTCTGCCCTGTCCCCACCACGTGAAGAGTGCAGGGTCCGCCAGAGATCAGGGCAGACAGAGTTCATGCTCAGAATTTGGGCCCTCCCTTGACGACTTTCTTTCCCAGCATTTCCTCACTTTCCAGTTGCTATGATTGACCCCAATCCTGACTCTGGTTCTTTAAGCCAATAAGGGTGTGGGTTTCTAGGTGCCTTTTGTTTTCTCTTTTTCTATTTGCCTTTTAGCTTCTAACAGTGGCCGTAACTAGGAACTCCTGTGTGACAAAAGTTACAGAGAGCCGGAAACTCACCCTGTGCTCCCTGCCTTCTTCAAAACATCCTCCCTCCCATCTGCCTGCCCCTAGCTGTTCTCCAATCCTTACGTTTTGCCCAGCTTATCATCGTGAATGGGAGGACTGGTCTAATAGGAGTAACACTGCTATTACCAAATGTTTCTCTCCTCATTCTTTTCTATCATAATCCTCTTACAACCAACATAAGAATTCCACCCGGCTGCGTTTTTCTTTTGTGTTCCAAAGGGTGTCATAGATTTTGCCAAACCCATGTGTTCCGCCTACAGCATCTCCTTCAGCCACCAGCTGAGTTAACCAGCAGATAGTTCCTGGTGAGACTGTAGTGACCCCAAGAAATCTCTTGGCTCCCCTTCCTAAATGCTCGCAAACTGAATATTGACAAGTTTCAGAAATGTTACTAGTGAACTCTGCCGGCCTCGCTCAGCTGCGGTTTCCAGAATTCACAGGAAAGTTATCCACCAGCGGCTCCCCCTCAGCACCATGAAACCCAGATTTCCTGATCTGAGCACTTGTTTCCTCTTTGTCCCCCACCATGGTCACTCACTCACCCATGTTTGTGTTGGGAGAAAATAGCCCTAATCTCATCACAACAAGGAGAAGAAAGTAAAATAAAAACAAACTTGGACGGTGGAGATGCTCAGACCACTGCATTCTGAAAAATTAACAGAAAAATCACATTTGAAGTATTTCGACAAATTCTTTGTTGTCTCCACCCTTGTTTAAAGCCTGTGGATTTAGTAAGTCTAAATTTTTTTATATATCTGTACATACATTTAGAAAGTCGAGGCATGCACCAGTTTCCTCTTGGTGGGCAAAGAAAACCCCTTGTTGCTGCTGTGATGTCCCTTCATTTCATATGCAAACTCCTTACCTCGTTTTCATCCCACCCAGTCCATTCTCACTGCCCTGTCACCAGAGTCAAGTCCTCACAGACTCCTGACGTCGGACAGCGAGTGTCTTCAGCAGTCAGGACATCCAGTGACGTTTCTTTGTTGCCCTTCATCTGTCTTTGGTGACCATGTGTTTCTTATGGACACCATGCTCCTGCCCTTTCCTAAAGAAACCGCTGGGTCCTTTCTGACCACGTGGTTCTTTCCTCGTCATCTCCTGATTCCCGTCCTCCCCCTCAGCATACGTGCTCTGAGCTCTGCTTGCTGCCAGACCTCATCCCCCAGAAGCTGGCCACCCTCACGGCGGCTCCCACGCTGGACCAGCCTTGGTTTTAGTGCTGTGTCCTGTGTGCCCAGCACGTGCCAGACCCACAGCAGGCAAATAGTAAACAGAAGCTTCTTCTGTTAGCTGTCTCCTCTTCCTCTGATCTGAGAACTCCTGGGGGGCTGTGCTCTGCCCACCCCACAACTCCCATCCCTCCAAAAACCATATCTTTATATTTTTATCTTTATTTTATTTTTTTTTAAGATTTTTATTGGGGAATTGGGGGGGATGGGAACAGTGCTGGGGAATTGGGGGAAGGGGAACAGACAAGTTGCTGTTGTTTTGTTCTTCAGTCTAGTTGTGGAGGACGTTGCTTCACTGGCCCAAGTTGGCACCATCATTGCGCTCTTCCCGGGTGAGGCAGATCACTCGCCGGCTTCTGGACGGTTGCTCACAGCGGCTGCTGGCTGCTCACGCTGGCTGCTGGCTACACACGGTAGCCCATGGCAACCCACTGCAGCAGGGGCTGCAGCCTATGCCGTTGCCGGCGACTCACGGCAGCCCCGCTCCAGGTTGAGCTGTTGTTCAGCATCTTAGCTGTAGAGGGCAGTGTCACTGGCCCTCATATGTGGGATCCGAACTGGGGCCCTCTGGCGTCCCAAGCCAGTTCTTAACCATCGCGCCACTCGGCCGGCCCTATATTTTTATCTTTATACTCTTTATCTTTTATTTTTTTATATCTTAGCTTTATCTATCCAAAATAAAATTGCTCTAAAAGGTATCCTCCTTAAGAACTACTAAGAGCTGATCGTTATTCCTCATGAAGAAAAATTAAAAGCTCCTAGAAATTTTAGTCACATCCTGAATTCATATAAAGTGTACCTGTGGGTGAGCCTTAGAAGCCACATGCGGCCCTGTTCCTCCCCACTCCTGCCCTCCCTATAGGTGAGAAGGTATAGCAAGTGGTAGCAGGTACAGGCAGGCATAGCAGCTGTAGACAGGTGTGGGCAAGCGTAGCAGGTATGGCAGGTGTGGGCAGGTATGGGAAGTTATGACAGGTATGAGCAGGTGTGGGCAGGCATAGCAGATATAAGCACGCCTATCCTGCCTCAGACCCCCCACTTCAAGCTATGTGGCACCTGGTGCTCACCCACATATTCCCACTGGCAGGACCAGAGGAAGTTCCACAGGAAAACAGCTGACAATTCCACAGTTTACCAGCTTAGGATCAAGGACCATACACACAAGAGACTCAGATTAATCATAGGCCAAATTAACTGGGGTACCCTGGATACTTGGTCAAAAGAAACACAATAAACCATGTATATATTGCTGCCTTCCCTCCAGCCTGACAAGCATATGCCCCAGAGTGCAGGACAAAAACAGAGATGTGAATCTGTCCCTTCCTTGGGGCCTCCCTGTGTGCATCCAGGGTGAACAGATCCCAGAGGGAGCATGGTCCCAAATCACACGTGGGTCCTCGTAGACAGGCTGCTCATGGGGCCTTCAGGAAGCTGGCTGTGGCTGTAGCTATAGTACCGATCACCATTTACAGCACTAACCAGGACAGCCCAAGCCAGCTGTTCTGACACCACCCCCCCCCCGCCCTTGGAAAGGCTGGGAAACCCCAGATTGCACCCAAGTGCCTTGAACGAAGGCCTCCTTCCCCGGCTCGCTTGAGAAGCAGGAACAGCTCTGACCTCGGGGTGGGGTGGGTGTTGAGGAAACTCACTGCAGCGGATGTAGGGCATGGGCCCTTGGTTCTCACATGGGCTAACCCAGTAATGGCTGTTCTGTGTGACACAGGCCTACAAGTATCTGGAGGAGATGCGGAGACTTCCTGCCGCCAACATGTCCTACTACGTGACCCAGCAGACTGTGGATGCTGTGCACCGGGGCCTGGGCATCCCTCTGGCTCGCATGGCGCCCGAGCGGACCCGCCACAACAGCAGGGAGGACCCCAAGGAGGTGGACGAGGAGGTGATGGAGGAAGTCGAGAACAACCCCTGACAGCCTGCTGCTGTGAAAGCTCTTCTGGAACTTTCCATCATCTGTAGTAGCAAGAGCCTGCCTTTCTTGCTGAAAGAAAAGCTTTTGTGTTTGAGTACATAGCTGTGGGGCCCAGGGCTCGGGCTGGCCTGCCTAGGAGAGGTGAGAGTGCGCATTTTGGAGTCGTCCCTTCCATGTTCCTGACCCTGCGGAGTTTGGTTTAACCCCTTTACTGTAAAGGGAGTTGGTTCATTTTTCCCACAGCTTTCTTCCAAGTACAGATTGTAAAGCCTAAGAAACTTCTAGAACGTCACGCAGAGGATGTTAGTATATACACTGCATCTTGTCGCAGCACCCAAGCAGGGTGCTTGACAGTGCGTCCATGTTTCCAGCAGAATGCACCGTTCCTGAGATACAAGGCAGCGGTGGAGGGGGAGGGGTTCCTCTCTTCCAGGCAGCTTCACAGCAGCCCTGATGGCTCTGTCCTTTAGGCTGTGCCACTTCTGTCATCAGCTCCCACTGCGAGGGGAGGGGGACCTCGGAGTCCAGCCTCGGGCTGCCAAAACCCTCCTAATAAAGTTTTTTTCCTCAGAGGCCCATGTCCCTTTCTTGCCCGTTTTTCATGCCCACCCTTCCACTCCCTCCCGGGCTCATCTAGGCACTGAGGTCCCTCCCGAGCAATGAGGACCACAAAGCGTGGGTTTGAGCGCCGTAGCTCCTTTTTATTCTCCCTTTTTTGTTGTTTTTTAACATCACCTGCCTTTAGGTGAGGAAAGGGGTTGAGGACACGATGCTTTGCCCATCTTGGTGGCCCCCACAGGTGCACATCCAGGCTCTAAGCAGCCGCGCCCTTGCCCTCCTCCTCTCCAGCCGCCTGCCCCATGTCCCTCCTCAGGACCCCCTGCCCCAGCGTTTAGGGTGCTCTGTCCGCTGGGGACACTCAGACGTCTGAGCACTCAGACGACTGGGCTGTACACGGCGGCGTGGGCAGGGGCCTTCCTGCTTCGTGCTCAGCACTGGGTGGCTGGCCAACCCCATCAGTGGCCGCACCACAAAGCCCACGCATCAGCCTGGCTCCTGGGCCTTGTACTCGGCCCGCCGGCCTTCCCCTCTTCCAGCAGGAATGGTGCCAGGGAACTAAGGAGAAGACAGTGAAAGGAGCTTGTCTTTGAGTTTCTCCAGAAGCAGCAGCGCCTTCACGGCCAGCATCCTGCAGTCCTCATCCGGGTCCTTCTCGGCCACATCTGCCAAAGATGAAAACCAAACCAGAATATGAGCCGCTGAGCAGGCCGGGCTTCTTCCGTTTTGTTTCATTTAAGTCTTCCTAAAGGCACCCCCACAAGGGCCTGGCGTGGCTAGCTGTCTGGGCCTCCAGCGTGTGGCACCACAACCTTCTTGTTGACAGAAGCATCTCAGAGGCCAGTGAATGGCTCTTGACTGCATCCCTGTGAGGAAGATATGCTCCCCTCCACCTGGGCTGGGACCTCCGGCCAGGTGATGGCAACAGAGGCATCTGGGACAAGTAAACATGTCCCCAAGAGTCACTCCAAGGTCACCATTCTCACCCCAGAGAAGGCGCCTGCACTGTGAGACAGTGGAGCCCATCTGGGGACAAGGGACACTAGATGCTACACGCCTGCAGCACGAGGCCCTGAGGAGGACCACCTGCCACCGTCCTGACACACGTAACTTGCGACGTAGAAAAACCCACATGGAGGGGTGCTCTCTACATGGGCCAACAGGACAAAAGACACGGGGGACAAGCAGACTGGAGGAGCTGGGGATGCAGGACCATTCAGGGTCTTGGAGGAGCCTTGGATGGACCCAGGATTCAGCAGAAAAAAAGGGAAAAGGCCATCGATGGACCACTGAGCCTTCAAGTGTGCCCAAAGATTAGACGGTCCGGTCTCAGCTGTGAGCTCCAAGGGTGGAAGTGGGTGTGGAGGCTCATGTGGCTACAAGTGGGAGGTCCTACTGGTCACAACAGAGTTTTTTTAAAAGAACATGTAGGTGGGAGGATGGGGACAAAATATGACAAAATGCTAATAATTGGTGAATCTGGTGAGGGTACATGGTGCTCACTGCATGACTTGTGACCTTTGTGAATAGTTGGAATTTTCTAGAATGAATTAGATGCCATCTCTCACATGAGGGTGCCTTCTCTCAGGTCCCCCTTCAGGACTCCCCAAAGTGATCCCAACAACAGCCATGTTCCCATCCCCACACTGGGGGACACGTGGTGTGTAGACGAGGAGGAACACGACACCACGCTGGGCTGTGGACTGGGGCTCACTCAGCTCCAGGGATTCTCCACAATGCTCCACACACCCTGACGGCCGCTAGGAACCTCCAGACTGCACCAGCCTCCCGCCCACCCGCCTCACTACTGCACCCCAGGGCCTGGCGCTCACCTGCCAGCCAAGACCGGGCTTCTAGCAGCTCATCTGGCAGGTCTGTCAGCAGTCGTTCAGCCGGGACGCTGAGGAGGACAGAGGAGACGGCGGACAGCAGACCCCGGCGCACGTAGCTGCCAAGCAAGGTGGAGGGCTGAGCCCCGATGGAGCCGCAACCTGGCCAGGGAGATCCCACTGCTCCTCCAAACACAGCAGCCCCACTGGCAACAAAAGCACACTCGGCCCTGCATAGCCCCCTTCCTTCTTAGAAGTACCAGGCCAAGCTGCCGCTCGGCCACCCCTGGGAGCCACCATCAGCCTCCCTATGTCCACCTCCCAGGATTCAGAGCCTCCCACCTCCACTGCATCCACGTGGGCCCACTGCCCGCAGTCCCTCAGCCACTCACGCATCACCATGGAAACGAAGGGCCCACACAAACTCCAGCAGGGCCTTGCCCATGAGCACAGCCACCTGAAACGGCAGAGGCCAGTGAGCAGGGGTCCTGGCACCCAGCAGCCCCCACCATGGACACTGTCCTGAGGTCCCACCACTCCTGTCCCCAGGACCGAGGGGAGGCCCACGGGGAGGACAGACCGCTGGTACCCACTCTCCGGCAAGGTGGGGCCATTAGCTGCCATTTCCCAGCTCACCGTGGTATTCACAGCCAGGTACATCAGCACCCCTAAGGTGTGGGCCAGTCTGCCGAGAACCAACTGGTCATCTCCCAAAAGGTCAAAGGTCACCAAAGGCCTACAACACAGAATCCGGTGAATGGTGCAGATCTGGCACTCAGGGTCGACTCCCCAACCTCCCGGGCCACCGAGGGACATCCCAGCCCCCTGGATGCTGCCCTGCACTGTCTATCTCCATGTGGCATTCAGAGCCTCAAGGAGAAGGCATTGGATAGACACTGTCACTCTGCAAGGCTGCCTGACACAAGCCCGGGCCTGAGTCCAGGCCCCGGCCCTCCCCACCATCACCAGAGCATCACACCCTATGTGGCAGTGGCCAAGGGGACATCCACAGCCCACTCAGGCTGCGACTGGACAAGGAGGCAAAGGAGGGGTGGGCAGAGTACATGCAGCATCGAGACATCACAGCAAGGCTCTGGCCCTGCCACAAACCTGACATCGGTGACCCAAACTGTGATACCTAACGCCCTCACCACGGCATTTAAGCTACAAACAACCACAGCCAAGGCCGTGACCCTGCTGCTGACCCACATTAGACCCCACCTTAGGAAGCTCCCTGTCCCCACAAGTGTCCAGGGCTCATGTTCCCCAAATCACAGGCCTCCCACTTACCTGTCAAAACGCTGAATGAGGGGGAAGAAGAAGTAGCCAGCCACCGCGTTGAATTCATTGGGGCTGCCAGCCAGTCCCTGCCTGGGACAGCCCTGCCAAACAGTGGTCATGGGACGCCACACTCACGGCCCTCCTGCCCCCCGTGCAGAACATTCTCATGGAGGGACTGTCTTGTGTGCCGTGGGAAGGTGAGCAGCCTCCCTGCACCCCACCAGCAAGATGCTAGCAGCACCCACCCCCAGTGACAACCAAGAATGTCTCCAGTCATGGCCACGTGTCCTGAGGATGAGGGACAACATCAGTCC